TAATTTAAAAAGCATAGAATTTTGTAGGAATCATGAAAAAGATTGTAAATTCAGCATTTGTATGTTAATATGCGCCAGCACAGTGATTGATGGAATTATTGATGCATTAGCATTGATTATCTTTCAGTAAGAAATCCATAACACTAAAAAGCTGGATGGCATAGAGTATGTAGATTCACTATTTCAGTTTAAATAGGACAACGTAGTGTTGGGTTCACTATTCAGCTAGTGCATTATAATACTCGTTTTGTACGAACGTTTTTCTGTTTCTCTCCCAGTAAGTAGAGTGCAACATTGCATTTTAGTAAGCAGAAATTGTGATGAAATCAAACACACGAGTGAAAGAGGAAGTTCAGCTTATTTGTTTTCATGCCCATTGCTGTGTTACGACAATATAAACAAAAACACTTCTTTTCTTAGGAAATGGTAAGAAGGTGCAAGGTACTTTTCCATTCTTAAAAAACTACTCTTATCAGTATATTTTGGGGCTCTTAGCTTTTGCACTTTCGTCACTTAAAGATGAAGAACAAATAATGTAAGTGATATGCCAATAATGACAGCAGCATGTAAAAAATCTGAGGACTTTATCATTGCACAAACTTTCCCGCACGATCAACCGCTGTATAAATGTAACATTCTGTGGTTTTTTTGTAAGTTAAACGACTTAACAGTGATACAAACCATGACGCCAGGTACTTGTAACAATTTTCCGCACTTTGAGTTTGACTGTTTATATCCGGTCATGAATTAAAGGCAACTGCTCTCTTCTAGTATTTGGAGGTTCTTTGCATCAAGAGGGAAGTAAACAATCCTGTTCATTGTGCTACTTGACCAGGTGGATGTTCTTGCAAAAGACTGAGACGTCATGTGGATGATGGCCACGTCGACTCTGTCTCACGTTTACAGTTGCGGTGTCGCTATCAAACTCTTTCCTAGAGCAAGATGGGTATTCCATTTCATGTGACAGATCAGATTTCTCGGGAATATAAAGAGATAAAGCTCTTTATCTTCAAAGTTTTTCGATTTTTGTTGGAAGTGCATCATCAGAAGAAAGCATGCAGCGTGGCGCAGCTCCTGCTCCAGCTGTGGTAATGCAAGCTTCCACCTGCATTCTACAATTAATCAAGAGATTGAACAGCTGTGCCAAATAGAGCATTTCGTGGCCTATGATCTTGACGATTTGTAGAAAAGACAAGTTGGGCGAGCAAAAAGAATACCAGCTTGTTTCTGAGTGAGACCGGTGCCTAAAAACGGTCTATTTTTCGAGAAGTGTAAGCATTGATCTTTCAAACTGGCGAAATGCTTCACGACTGCATTTTAGGGGTGACGTTCCGTGGAAAAAAAATCTTCAAAAGTCGTCGCTTAATGAATGGAAATTTGAAAAGAAAGTGCACAATCATAAAATGGGCTTTAATTTGATGTGCATGTCGAACATCTGAGAAAGTTGTGAGTATTTTCCCGTTTTTTTGAAGTTCAGGTATTAATCACTGTTTGCTATGGCAGTTTATCATACTGGCTTGCAACCGGAAAATAATGTTGTACAACGCCCTCAGTTTTTGCAAGGTTTGCGGCAACGTGTGGTGGCGCTCCGTTTTATTTACACTGGGCGGTGGTTCTGCGAATCGTACGAGTGCGCTCCGTACATGCAGTCGTATGCTCAATACTGGCCATCACTAATTAATATATCAGCAACTAGTTCTGCTTAAGTTCCAGGTCCGACTGGTGTTGCTATATTTTTGAAGATAGAACTCCAAGATCATCACATTGGTAAATTTGTTTTTGGTTTGTTGTTACTTTCTTCCCCCGGTTAATCAGTTTACAACTCAAGGCCTGGGCGGTTTGAGTTGAAGTGTCATGTCTGTACTGAAACGTTATCCCACGCACGGTCGTTGGCAGGATATATAGCTTAGCTTACGTTTCCCTGGGCATCCTCCCCCAATTAAAGTAAATTATTGACCCTCTTCCTGGTATGCAGTTTGCCCTGTGGCATTCTGACACAAGTACCACTGACTACCTATTGTATCGCAGCCACATCGGCAGTTGATTGCAAATACATGTACATATAGGCAGTGGATGAACTTCCTGAGTTGCTCAGTCATTTGATACGATAGACCCCTGCGTATGACCCCATGTTAGAGGGAATTTCTTCCCTGGGATTGGCTTAAGTAAACCTTTTGTGCATTCATTGTCATTAAAACAAAACGTATCTTCTGTGAGGGTGCTCCATGCAGGCCCGCTATATGACTCATATTATTTGTAATGTGTTGTTCAAAGTGAGCCTGCTGTGGGGTTTTATGCTTTTCAGACTTAGAATTTCACGGCAGTGAACAATATTGTATTCTCCCGTAGCATTATTCATTTTTTGTTATGAAAGTTATCTTCATCATGGGATGACATTCTGACCTGATGGAAGTTTGGACTCTACATTTCCTCTAAAATCCTCCATAAACAAGATAGAGAAAAAGAAAATATCCTGGCACTAAATGTGTGACAGGTTGATGCACAAAATCGAAATGCAGTGTGTATGCCCTGAAGGTAAACAGTGTTGTGTCTGACATCCTTGTATTGTGGAAATAACTGTATGATGAAATGGGGCTTTCCTTCGATTTGACAATTGGTAGGGATATTGAGGTAAAATCTTCACTTCCTACATGTTGTTGAGAAAACAAATGTCAAGAGCTATTGGAATTCACTTCCATTTTAGTATTGGGAATCATGCATTGTGTTCCCACTTTGTTCTTGTATCATTTGTAAAATTCTGGCTGTAATGGAGGAATTCATCATACATGTAGCCCATAATCATGTAGACGCAGAATGGACTTTTTGCCATTCATGTCAAATACATGTAACTATCTGAACTATGTAACCATTTAAAAGGAATTTATGCTTAAGAAAATTGGGCAATTTTAGTTGTATTTTCTTTTTTGTTTCATTGGATGCTAATGACGTGCTTGTTGTAAATGACAGTTTTAGAACACATGTTAATAGAGAATAAAAGTGTTGCAGTGTTGGCCTCACTTTTGGACAGTGTGACATAAAAACTTTGGTTTTCGCCGTGTTCTTACAGACTTTATCACATTTACTAAAATGTTATTGTACATGTATCAGTTGGCTCAGTTTGTATACATTGTGGGTAAATCATTTACAAAGTTTACAAATCATCAAATTGTTAGAATCCATGTGGTCAACACTAAACATATGTCGTCATTATAAATAACTGAATAAAAACTGAAGATAGAAGGTTTTGTTAGACTGTGAGATTTACTTTTGCTTTGTATACTCTACCAGTGCAGGGAATTTCCATTCATAAATATCAGAGTAATAAATTACAAAATAATGAAATGAATAGGCTGTACTCTTTTTTTTGTCTTTTTAAGGGGAATTTTTCGCATGCATGTATTTATTCATTGTTAATAGTTTTGGAATGCTGTCTGATGAAGAGTTTTTGTACTCTACATGGACATGTAATAACAGCTAAATGACACCAGTCCTATGTTTATTCATGTTCATTTATGGTTATATTCAGTGATTTATGTGTCATCCAGTCTACGTCTATCATTCGTTGTCCAGAGATACCCATGTAATAGACGTCTCTAATTTCCAATTCTCGTTTCCAGCAATCTACTTTGGTACTATGGCAACCCAGGTCTCAGATGTCAATATGGCTAAAAATGCTGCCAAAGCAAGTAATGCGTTTGCATCAGGTTTGTTCCGTATGTTAGCTGGAAAAGGAAGTTCCCAGAACATCTTCTTTTCTCCAATGAGCATCTCTACTGCACTTGCTATGACCTTCTTGGGGGCACAGGGTGAGACGGCAAGCCAGATGAAGCAAACACTGCACTTCCACTTGCTAGAAGAATCCCTTCTTCATCAGTCATTTGCTGACTTGAGTGCTCTTATTTATCGTGCTAATGCTCCCTACACCCTAAGGGCTGCAAACAGACTGTTTGGTCATAAAGGTTTGGCTATAGTGCCAGCGTTTGCTGAGGGCAGCAAGAAGCACTATGGAGCAAACATTGAGACACTTGATTTCATTGGTGATGCCGAAGGTTCTCGTCAGCTCATCAACTCCTGGGTGGAGAAACAAACTGAAAATCGAATAAAAGACTTACTGGCTGCAGGATCTATTGATGCCCTGACTCGCCTTGTGCTTGTCAATGCTATCTATTTCAAAGGAGATTGGGTTTCCAAGTTCGAAGCATCTGATACATTTCCTGAAAAGTTTCACATTTCGGCAAATGAGGATATCAGTGTTCCCATGATGCACAAGGATGGAAAGTTCAACTATGCCCGTGATGATTCCGTAAGGAGTTCTATCCTGGAACTTCCTTACATCAAGAAGGAAGTAAGCATGTTTATTGTGCTTCCCGATCAGGTGAATGGACTTGCTGATGTTCAGAAGAAATTGTCTCAGGAGAAAATTGAGGAATGGGTCACAGAAGCTCGCCGCATGCGTGATAGTCCTACTGTTATTGTGTCACTTCCAAAATTCTCTTTGGAGCAGAACTTTGTTCTTAATGATGTCTTGAGAGAGATGGGCATGGTTGATCCATTTGATGTTGGCAAGGCTGACTTCTCAGGGATGACAGGAGATAAAGATCTCTTCATCTCTCAAGTTATCCACAAGGCCTTCTTGGATGTGAATGAGAAAGGCAGTGAGGCGGCTGCAGCTACTGCTGTGGTAATGAAACTCCGCTGTGCTGTACCAATGATGAAGCCTCTTCATTTCAAAGCAGACCATCCTTTCTTCATTTTCATTTATGACAATAAATCTCAAGCGGTTTTGTTTATGGGGCAGTTATGCAGACCAATAGTGTAACCATTCAGTGAATGAGACACATATTGAAATAGGATGCGTGTTTGGTATATGGATTCTGGTTCCTTGAATTGAAATGAGACAGTTCGGAAAATGATTTAATTTGAAACTGACCACATAATGTAACAGCCTGTCGTGTTTTCTGAAAAAAGTTTATGACGTTAAATTTTACTTAGATATTGCAACCTAAGGTTGTGTTAAGAATGTAGGTAATTTAGATGATTTAAAGTTTGATAACAGACTGAAAGCTTCAGATTTGTGTTTCTTTAATTATCTATATTTGTTCAAGTTATGTTTGAAGAACACTGTGAATTGAAATAGAAATTTAGATTGCCAATGAATTGAATGCAGCTTGAAAATATCAGGCATTCAAACAGAGAACACCATTTTTATCAAACATTTTTCACTTTGTACCCATTTTAATCAAAGACCAAGAATCACATTTGAATTAGTTCATTACCAATGCTCAAAGAAAAAAAGGGTTTCAAAACTTATCTGGAATACATTGTAACATGTAAATAGAAAAAAAATTGTCTACTTCAAATGAAAGGAAAAGTTTAAATCAGTAATGTACGCACTTGAGATAAAAATTATGTTGTGTGTACAGGTTATTAGAGAACACAAAATGATCCTGAAACTAATTGTGTGGTTAATTTAAAGTATTGAGTAATATTGCTGTGTTACAATGATCTGAAATAGTTTTAGTGTTTTCTGTTTGTAGATATAAAGTATAATGCACTTAACTTTAATGTTACACTTTGAATGTGGAAATTATTAACTGTAAATTCACCGTTTGTGTGTGTGTTATGCGTGAGCACAATGATTGATGCAATTATTGATGCTCGGGCATTGATTAACTTTCAGTTAGAAATCCGTAACACCAAACACAGGTGTGAGATTTCTCACCTTTTTAGCTGATTTCAGCTTTTTTGTTTTGGATTTCAGCTTTTTTGTTTTGGATTTCAGCTTTTTTCCTCACTGGCCGTGTACAAAAGCACAGGAGATTTTCACAGTTCAGCTTCTTTAGGCCACTTTTCAGCTGTTCTCAGCTATTTTTATCATTGGTCCGTCTCACCCCTGTAAACAGCTGGAAAGCATGTAGTATTTAGATTTATTATTTCAATTAAAATAGGACAACGTAGTGTTTTGTTAAACAATTAGCTAGTGCATTGTATTCTCTTTACATGCAAGTTTCAATGTCTCTCTCATAATAAGTAAAGTATAACATTGCATTTTAGTAAACAGAAATTCTAGGATGAAATCAAGTAAACGTTTGACAATGATAGCTCAGATTGTTTGTTTCCATTTTTTTCATTCTTAGAAAATCCTTTCATCAGTACATTTTTGGGCTCTTTTATGTTGTCAGATAAAAGATGAACAACATGCAAGGAACGTGATATGCCAGTAACCATAGCAACCTGTCAAAAATCTCGGGATTTTATTATTGGATGAATTTTCCCGCACGGTCATCAACCGTTGTATAAATATACAATGTAACATTCTATGCCTTTTTCATAAGGAAGACGCTTCACGGTGATACGAGCCATATAGCTAAAAATAAGCCATGAAGCTAAATACTTGTCAATGACGATCTTCTCCACTCCGATTTTGGCCGTTTATGTCCAATGATGCATAAAACACAAAGGTGAAACCACGTTCGTGAAGAGTCTGTGAGCAGCTCTGTTCTAGTATCTGCAGCTGCTTTTTTATTCCAAGAATTAAGAAGTAAACTTCTTCATTGAGAGGGTAGATGTTCTTGCTGACGTACATGTACAGTCGACTCTCGTTATAAAGAACACTGTTACAACAAAATACTTTTATAAAGAACAAATTCTGAGAATCCTACTTTCATGAATTCTTCTGTTTTTCTTTGCTTTTCCACTGCTCTTATAACAAAGTCCTGGTTATAACAAAGTAATTTGTCTGGTCCCTGCTACTTTGTTGTAACGAGAGTTGACTGTATTGGCCGTTTTCAATACAGTACTCTACTTCGGCTCAGTCTTCAGCAGTTTTTTTACTACCTGACTTAGAAGTTGTAAGTGCAACAAGTGAGATGCAAAAGAGCCAAACATTACATCACCTCAATTAAATTTAAATGCTTCAGGCGCACAATCGGGGATTAGTTTCGGAGACTAAGCCTGCGACGGAAACGAGGTTGAGTATAGGAAAACGGTCATTGAAGAAATTAAGCCACAAAAAGATTGAGAGTCACGTGGATGACGGGGATTATACGCATTAGGGGTTATTTTACGTGTACTGTTGCGATGTCTCTACCAAACTTATTCCTAGAGCAAGATGAGTATGCCTACTCCATCATGAAAGACGGATCAGACTTCTCGTATCAAAAGTATAAGGAGATAAAGAATTCTTCATCTTCAAAGATGCCCACAAGGTTTTTCTTGGATGGACATGAAGAAAGCAGTGTGGCAACTGCAGCTATAGCTGTGGTAAAGAAAACTCCCACCTGCTTTCCAATGACGCCTTATTAAAATACATTATACTCTCAGTTCACCATCGTTTTTATGTTTATTTGTTACAATAAGTCGAGAGAAATCTATCCATTGAACAGCTATGCAAACCAGTAGGTATTTGTTTCTACCGATTCTGTTTTATATGGAAAAAAGTAGGTTGAAGTCACTATACCCCTCCCTTTTTGGGAGCATAACTTAAGTGTTGACTGAGAATATTGGTAACGAAGTTAGGTTTTGAATTTGTATTCATTGAAGAATATTGCATTCTTTTTTGTAAGGATATGAATCTACAGTCCCTTGGTGATTTGAAGGTTTTGCCTCTAAAGCTTGAAGGATGATACCCATGGAATATTACTACAGCCTTGCAGTAGAAATGCTGTTTCTCCACATGATTGGGATATAAATTTCGTCCTGTAAATGAAAATATGCTGGAATGACTATATTTTGTTGATTGTGTTTTTGTATATCTTGCACGTACGTCACGTGACATACGTGTATTGTGCCAAAGTGAATTAAAAGATTGGGGTTTTATCATATGGTGGTAATGATACCATGAGTTGAAGATAATTAAAAAGAGGCTAATACAAAAATTAACATGCAGCAATGCGAAATCCACCCAACAATTGTTTTGTGCAAGAAATGCACATGTATTTCCTCATTAAAATTTAATCAAGGAGGATCATTCCACACAACATTCACATTTTCATTATTTCTTTAGACATGGTGTAATAATTTTATTATAAACCTGTTTGTTTATGTTTTTATTGCCGCTTAAGTGCAACACAATACCTAAGCTGTACGTATGGACCTATTGTCATAAGGTCCAAACTGTTTGCCCAATGTAGGCTACGTGTAGGCTCTAAATGAACAGCTTAGTTGGTCAGGTTGTCTATACTTGTGTATTTTGGAAGTCTACTTGGAGCACGGTGCAGTTCTCAGTTATGTTGGGCGGATAGCTTCACAAACTGCCTCAATAACAAATTTGTGATATAAAAAATTAAAAGATAATGTACTTCTCCTACAGGTGAACGCATCTGTAACCACTGGAGATACAAGAACTGATGCTTTTGATGTCATCTGTTTAGATTTCATAATGGCAGTCATCCAGTTCCTTGGCATCTTTCTTACCGCCATTGCAGTTACCTCCATAAACATCTCTGGTACATCATCTGATACGGACACACAGTTGAACCTTGCTGAAGCCAACAATAGATTTGCCTTTCACCTTTATCAAACCCTTACTGAGGCAACCGCAAGCGATAACATTGTTTTTTCGCCGATGAGCATTTCAATTGCATTTGGTATGACTTTTCTTGGGGCACGTGGAAACACCGCTAATCAAATGAAAGAAGTTCTCAAATTCAATTTGATGGAAGAATCCCGTCTCCACTCGTCACTTTCCAAGCTCAACTCTGCTATCTTCGATGTGCATGCAACAAGGTACATACTTCGAAAGGCGAACCGCCTTTTTGGACAAAAAGATCTTGATTTGAGGCACCAATTTCTTCACGATGTTCAAAAGCATTATGGTAGCAGTATGGCCAGTCTTGACTTTGTTGAGGATTCGGAAGGGTCCCGCCAGTTCATCAATTCTTGGGTCAGTCAAGAAACAGAAGAGAAAATTGTGGATGTTTTGCCTCCTGGACACGTAAATGAAATGACTCGACTTGTATTAGTCAATGCTATTTACTTCAAGGCAGATTGGATTAGTAAGTTTGACGCTTCGAAAACATTTGACCAGGATTTTTATTTCTCAGAAAGCGAAGTCATTGAGGTGGCAATGATGCATCGGAAGTCGAAATTTAACTTTGCTGAGGACACCTCATTGCGGTGTAAAATAATAGAACTACCTTACGTAGGTAAGAAACTGAGCATGGTCCTCATTCTTCCCGAAGAAATAAACGGTCTTGACACACTGCTAAAGCATTTCTCAAACGAGAAACTGTTGCATTTTTTGAACAACCTGTCGAATGTAACTGTGGATTTGGCGATACCAAAATTCAGCCTTGAAGAAACTGTATTCATGAATGATGTTTTGCACACCATGGGAATGCAAGATCTCTTTCGCCAGGATAAAGCTGATCTGTCTGGTATAACGGGAACGAAGGATCTGTTTGTATCGACTGTTGTCCACCGAGCTTTTCTTGAAGTGAATGAAGAAGGCAGTGAAGCCGCTGCTGCCACTGCTGTGACTATCAGTGCGCGCTCAATCAGTCATACACCAGAATTCATTGCAGATCACCCATTTCTCTTCTTTATTATTGATTCCAAGACTAAAGCAATTATTTTCATGGGGAACTACCGGAAGCCAGTCGGTTTGATACGGAACCGTGAGGAATTGTAATTTCTTGGCAGCTGGAAGGCGTTCTGTACAGTTTAATATCACTATTTGTCGGTAGTTATCACCTTGAATTAATCGGCAGAACAGTAAAAATGGGAATAAACTGATTGCTGTGGCAGAATTACTTAGAATGAAAGGAACTTGCTACTTATTTAACGATAGTAACGTTCCTTTTTTTTCAGAAATTATCCGGTATTTTATGCGAATGTTTATAAATAAAAAACAAACAAAAAAACCAAAACCAAAACAAAACAAAAAACCCAGATCAAAACAAAACAACTTGATAAAATAACAAAACCCTCCCGTATGGGGCAAAAGGTGAACACGTGCCTGGCATATATATTTATTTTGCCGCTACAGTTACAAATACGGTGCCGTTAAAAACCAATAATTTACTTGTAGGTACGCTTCTATCCGTTGTTTGTATCTGCTAGCCGTTAAATCTTATTACCAATTCCTTTCAGTCAGTCAAATTATTTCAGTCAATTTATAATAAATGTTTCCTAAGAATTTTTGCTGTAGTTTTAAATAAAATTTATATTTGTGTGTTTACCTTATAATTGTTTCTGTATTTAAAGGAAATGTCGACAGCGATTATGTTAAATGTGCTGTCATACGTTACAACCTTCTCTTTTCTTCACAAAATTATTGTCAATGATTATCTTGCCACCGGGGCAGTAGGCAGGTCTTTCCTAACCCCTCAGTCTTGACACGATGTTGCCGTACATTGTTTGTAATGGACCGTGTGCATTACATTGGACAGTCATATAAGAGACTTAAGTCTAGTGACCAAATTATGCCCGGTCATAATGTGTTTTATAACATATCTCCTATAAAATGTAGGATGAGAAAAGAAAATGTTCAGGGTTTTAAACTTTAAAATAATGAAACCATACAACTTAGACTGAAAAGCGATTCAATTTTCAACAGACAGTTATTAGGTACCTGGATTGTCTTTGAGTTGTTCACTTGTACTTGTACGCATCGTGTGAGGGCGCTGTGATGTAACTCTACATGACCTGATCCTGACCTGAAGTGCGGCCTCAACGTGTGCACCGTAGGCACCTACGTACCTGTAAACTGCGAGCTTATGAAATTGTCCATTTTTTTGTGTTATATATTCAGGTTACATAAGGTGGGCCGAATTGAAATAGGCACCTTATGAAACGACGAGCGCCCAAGATGATACGTAACAAATGCATTGGCTTTGGTACTGTTGGAAGTGGAGGTGAAACGTTACGTGAGGTGGGAACTCGAAGTAATGAAAACCATCAACCTACCGCGAGTCGTTCTAATTGGTCTTGGCGGAATCTGCCTGACAACACTACAACGCTGTCTGCAGTCCACAACTGAAACCGTTGGCGTTCGGTGAGTACAATCTTGCAGTTAACATTAAACAGGTTAATCCCTCCATTATGGATGATGAACCAGTTTGGTAATTAGGCATTCCATGTACACCAATATTGGCAATAATTTTG